ATTAAATGTTGACATTTTTGAACTTCTTGATTGTATGATTGTTTTGTATTTCATTCATTTCTGCTCTTCTCTATATTATTTACCTTCTCTGTTTTTCTGTTCCTTTTCTAACTTCTCTAGATGGATGCTTGGGTCATTAATTGTTAGCCTTTCACTTTTTTCTAAATGAGGATTTAGTCTATAAATTTCTCTCTAAGCATTGCTTTAGCTGAATCCCATAAGGTTCTATTTTAATACACAGGTGTATTGAGGTAGAATTTACATATAGTAAAATTCATCCATCATTTTCAAATGAATGCATCAATGAGTTTTGCAAACACAAACTGGTAACTGCCGTCAAAAACATGTATGTCCTTTTATATCCAATCCCTTCCTCCCATTCCTTTGCAAACACTGATCTGATTTCTGCCCCTATAGTTTTACCTTTTTAAGAACATCATGTGAGTGGAATAATATTCTACATAGCCTTTTCTGTTGACCTTTGTTCTGGATTGAATTGTGTCCTCCCAAAATATGTGTTGAATTCCTGGTACCTGTGGATGTGATCCTGTTTGGAAACAGGGTTTTTCTTTTGTTATGTTAATGAGGGCATACCAGTGTAGAGTGGATCCTACAAATAATCACTTCTGAGTTATAAAATGACCAGAACAGACACAGAGGCATACAGAGGCCATGTGGTGATTATCTACAAGCCAAGGAGCCAAGGAATGCTTGGGCCTCCCTACTAGGAAGGAATCAACAAGGCTGAGACCCTGATTTAGACTTTTAGCCTCCAACACCATAAGAAAATAAATTTCTTTTCTTTAAAACCACCTACATTCATAAGAATTCTGAACTTAGATATAGAAGCATGTGAAGTATGTAGTTAATAATCTTTACGTTGATTTTGACCTGGCATGCTGTGATTAATCCAGTTAATCTTTATAAATTATCCTTGAGATGTAAGTCTAAACAACCTCCTTAATTTATAACTTTGAAGAAAAAATTTGACATTCAGCTAATCTCTAACCCTGGAGAAAATACATAACATACTAGGCTTTGACGTCACACTGACACTTACTGTGTGAGGTCAAGGTGAGAATTTCATACACAAACCCTGCATTTCTGCTCACTTGCTGAGAGAAGGCAGGGGCAAAGGGATCTTTTTCTAGTCTCTCACTCTCTCTGAAGACGGAGAGCCTACTGAGACTGCCCACTGCTGCCAATCTCAGACCCTAGCTACTAGGGACCTCTACTGAGTTTGAGCCATGGTCAAGCCTGACCTCCTGAGACCTCTTGTAAAAGCATTAAGTCTAAAGATTTGGATTCTAACTATTGTTAATGTAACTGTAATTAATTCTGATTCTCCAGTTCTAAATGAACGTTGTGATGACTTACTTGCATGCCTTGCCATGATTACCTTGCAATAAAACTGAGTTTATGCATGACAAACATGAGTTATCTGTCTGTAAATTTTCTAAAACCCTACCAACAGGGTTGTATGATAAGTATATTCCATTTTTTATAAGAAACTGCCAATCTGTTTTCTGAAATAACTGTACAAATTTCCATTTCTATCAGCCATACATGAGAGTTCCTGTTGTTCCATATCCTTCCGAGTGCTTGGTATTATCAGTCTTTTTAAATTTTAGCCATTCTAATAGGTGTGTACTGGTATCTCACTGTGGTTTTAATTTGTTTTTCCCTAAGGATATTGAACATCTTTTCATGTGCTTAGGTGCCATCCTCATATCTGCTTTGGTGAGGTGTCTATTCAAATCATTTGCTTATTTTTTGGGGGAGGGCTGTTTGTGTTCTCATTATTAAGTTTAAGAATTCCTTAAATATTCTGCATATAAGGCCTTATCAGATAGGTGTTTTTTTCCCAGCCTGTGGTTTAGGATTTTATTTTCTTAAAATTAGACAGAAGTTCTAAATTTTGAAGTCCAATTTATTTTTTCCTTTTGAGGTTTGTACTTTTTGTGCCATAGCTAAGAAATCTTTGCCTAACCCTAGGTTAAAAAAAAGAAAAAAAAAAAAAAATCACCTAAGTTTTTTTCCAAGTTTTAGTTTTAGTGCTTACATGTTTTAAGTGTATGGTTCATTTTGAGTTAATTTTAGTATATGGTGTAATGTAACAGTGCAGGTTCCTTTTTTTTTTTTTGCTTATGAATATTCAATTGTTCCAGCACCATTCTCCTTATACTAGTTCCACAGTATTAATTACTGTAGTCTTATACTAATCTTTAATGATGTTGTTGAGTCCTACAGTTTTGTTCTTTTTTTAAAATTCTTTTGGCTACTCGAAAGTATCTCCATTTCTATATAATTTTTAGAATTGGCTTGCCAATTCTACAAAAAATATCCTGCTGGTATTTGGATTGGGAAGGTGTTGAGTCTATAATTTGGCATCTTTATAGCACTATTTGTCTTATTCTCTCAGCAATGTTTTGTAATTGTAAGCATAAATATCTTGAATATATTTTGATTTCTCCCAAAGCATGTTATAGTTTTGATGCTGTTATAAATGGTATTGTTGTTGTCATGTGCTGTCGATTCCAACTCATAGTGTATAGATTTAATTTCATTCCTAGTATACAGATAAGATTTCTGTATATTGAATGTATATTCTGTGATCTTATTAAATTTATTCCTTAGTTTTAGTAGCATGTTTACAGATTTTGTTGTTTTACTACAGAGGTAGTTATGGCATCTATAAAGAGTTTGTTTCTTCTTCTCCAGTCTGTATTTACTTTTTCCTGTCTTATTGTTCTGGCTACAACCTCTAGGACAATGTTAAATAGAAGTGATAAAAACAGACATCTTGCATTACTCTCAGTCTTCAAGGGAAAGCATTCAGTCTTTCACCATTAAATATGATGTTAGCTGTAGGTCTTCATAATGCCCTTGAAGAAATCTTTTCTTTTTCTAGTTAGTTGAGAGGTTTATTTTTTAATTGTGAATGAATACTGAATTTTGTCAAATGCTTTTATCTACTGTGATCACGTGGTTTTTTTTTTTTAAGTCCATTCATATGATGAGTATTATTGATTTTTGAATGCTGGAACAAGCTTGCATGTATTATCCCAACTTGGTCATTTTGTATTATTCCTTTTATATAGTGTTGTATTTGTTTACTAAAATTGAAGTAGGGCCGTTCCTAGTTTTTTTTTTTTTTTAATTGTACTTTAGATGAAGGTTTACGGAACAAACTAGTTTCTCATTAAACAGTTAGTACACATATTGCTTTATGACATTGGTTAACAACCCCATGACGTGTCAACACTCTCCCTCCTCGAACTTGGGTTCCCTGTTACCAGCTTTCCTGTCCCCTCCTGCCTTCTAGTCCTTGTCCCTGGGCTATTGTGCCCTATTAGTCTTGTTTTGTTTTACGGGTCTGTCTAATCTTTGGCTGAAGGGTGAACTTCGGGAGTACATCATTACTGAGCTAAAAGGGTGCTGAGGGCCATACTCTTGCGGAGTTTCTCCAGTATCTGTCAGGCCAGTGAGTCTGGTGGTTTTCTGTGAGTGAGAATTTTGTTCTACATTTTTCTCCAGCTCTGTCTGAGACCCTCTATTGTGATCCCTGTCAGAGCAGCCAGGGCTGTTTCCAGTTTTGGGCTATCATAAATAAAGCTGCTGTGAACACTTATGTACTTGTGTTTTTTATAAACGTTCTTTGCTCTGGAGTAAATACCTATTGGTGTAATGTCTGGATAATATAGTAGATATATGTGTAACATTTAAATAATTTTAATTAACAAATTGTTTTCTATTTCCACCAGCAGTATATGAGAGTTCAGTTCCTCCACATACTTGCCAACACTTGATATGGTCAGTCTTTTTGATTTTAGTCATTCTAATAAGTGTGTACTAGCCAAAAGACTGGCGGTTCAAACCCAGCCTTGGAAGACATGCCTGGTAATCTGCTTCCAAAAGCTCACAGCCTTGAAACCCTGTGGAGCAGTTCTACTCTGAACACGCGGGGTCACCATGAGTTGGAATTGACTCAACAGCAACTAACAACAATAATAGGTGTGTAGCCGTAATATCACTGTGTTTTTAATTTGCATTTTCCTAATGACTAATAATGTGGAACATTTTTTTGATGTGCTTATTTGCCACCCATATGTCTAGTTGGGTGAAGTGTTTGTTCAAATGTTTTGTCCCCTTTTTTATAGGGTTGTTTTAACATGGTTTTGAGAGTTATTTGTATACTTTGGATACAAGTACTTTATCAGATATATGCTTTGCAAACAAATTTTCTTAGCCTATAGCTTTGCTTTTCATTCTGTTAGCAGAGTCTTTCAATGAGCAGAAGATTTAATTTTGATGAAGTCCTATTTACCAATTTTATCTTTTGTGGATTATGCTTTTGGTGTCATATCTAAAAAATGTTTTATACATTATATATGTTTCTGTATGTATGTTACACTTCAATTAAAACATAAAAAATTCAATCCTTAATTAATGAGTTTTCTAATGGGAAAAAATAATTTTAAGACAATTCATTTTATGATATTTGCCAAAACAGTGGATGCTAGATGTACTGTGTTTCAAAATAAAATAAAACATGGTGACCCCATGTGTATAGAGTAGAACTGCTCCAGAGTTTTCAGTTTTCTTGGCTATAACCTTTATGGAAGCAGACTGCTAGGCCTTTCTTTCACAGTGCCCCACCGAGTGGGTTTGAACCACCAGCCTTTAGGTTAGCAGTTGATTGTAAATCACTTGTACCACCAAGGACCTGTGCTTTATTAGCTATAGTTAAAATCATAAGCAACTAGTTCTTAAAGTCATGAGTAGACTTTTCTCATTTCATTCTAATATTGTCATCATCAGTAATGATTTGTAGGAGCCAACTGTCAATATTATGTTGTATACTGTAAGTCTCAAACAAAACCAATATTTCAATATTAGAAGTGGTTATTTGGAAGCAGCATATTTTCTATTTTTATCACACCAATCAAGATGTCCATGTCATCATTTTCATATAAATTCAGAATTCAAAAGAATATTACTTGTGTGACTGTCCTGGGGGAGGAAATATTCATTTTTTCTATTTTCATTTCTGGTAGAATCATCATGGTTTTTGACATTCTGCTTTGGTTTGCACCAGCATATCCTTTTGTTTGAGTTCCTTTTACATTCCTAATAAAGCTAATAGACTTCCTTACTTGTGGGCCAGTGCTCCTGCATCAGGAAAAGAAAACACAGTACATAGGATCCAGGATTAAAAAGAAAAATCCACCAACAACAAAAAAGTACACCTTCATTTATAAACATGTAAACAATCTAACCATATAAACAAGAAATAATAACAACTATTTTAGAGCTCATTATGTGTACATAGTTCTAGAGTTTACATGCATTATATCATTTTTTCCTCATAACAACTCTAAGAAGTTGCTATTAGTATTATTTTATATAAAGTCAGAGGCTTAAAGGGAAACACTCCTACTAGAGTTGAGATTTGAACTCAGGTAGTCAGATTTAACGTGTACACTTCTCTGAGTCTTAGTTTCCTTATTTGTAAAATGGGGATAATAATAGTACCCCCACGCATCTGTCAGTTTGTCGTACTGTGGGGGCTTGCGTATTGCTGCGATGTTGGACGCTATGCCACTGGTATTCAAATACCAGCAGGATCACCCATGGTGGACAGGTTTCAGCTGAGCTTCCAGACTAAGACAGACTAGGAAGAAGGACCAGGTGGTCTACTTCTGAAAAAAATTAGTGAAAACCTTATGAATAGCAGCGGAACACTGTCTGATACAGTGCTGGAAGATGAGCTCCCCAGGTTGGAAGGCACTCAAAAGACGACTGGGGGAAGTGTTGCCTCCTTAAAGCAGAGTCGACCGTAATGACATGGATGGAATCAAGCTTTCAGGATCTTCATTTGCTAATGTGGCATGACTCAAAATAAGAAGAAACATTTGCAAACATCCATTAATAATAGGAACGTGCAGTGTACCAAATATGAATCTAAGAAAATGGGAAATCATCAAAAATGAAATGAAATGCATAAACGTCGATATCCTAGGGATTAGTGAGCTGGAATAGAATGGTATTGGCCATTCTGAATCAGACAATCATATGGTCAACTATGCCAGGAATGACGAATTGAAGAGGAATGACACTGCATTCATCGTTAAAAAGAATATTTCAAGATCTATCCTGAAGTACAACACTGTCAGTGATAGGAAAATATCCGTATAACTATAAGGAAGACCAGTTAATACGACTATTATTCAAATTACCCACGAACCACCAATACCAAAGATGAAGAAATTGAACATTTTTACCAACTTCATCAGTCGGAAATTGATCAAACATGCAATCAAGATGCAATGATAATTACTGGTGATTGGAGTGTGAAACTGGAAACAAAGAAAAAGGACTGGTAGTTGGAAAATACGGTCTTGGGATAGAAACTATGCCAGAGATCACATGATAGAATTTTGCAAGACCAATGACTTCTTTATCGCAAATACCTTTTTTCAACAACATGAACGGCAACTATACACGTGGACCTCACCAGATGATATACATAGGAATCAAATTGACTACATCTGTGGACAGAGATGATGGAAAAGCTCAGTATCAGTCAGAACAATGCCAGGGGCAGACTGCAAAACACACCATCAGTTGTACATATGCAAGTTCAAGTTGAAGCTGAAGAAAATTAGAACAAGTCCACAGAGTGCCAAAGTACGCCTTTCAGTATATCCTACCTGAATTTAGAGACCATCTCAATAATAGATTTGACAGACTGAACACTAATGACCGAAGATCAGACTAGCAGTGGAATAACATTAAAGACATCACACATGAAGAAAGCAAGAGGTCACTAAAAAGACGGGAAAGAAAGAAAAGACCTAAATGGATGTCAGAAGAGACTGTGAGACTTGCTCTTGAACACAGAGTAGCTAAAGCAAACAGAAGAAATGATGAAGTAAAGGAGCTGAACAGAAGATTTCAAAGGGTGGCTCAAGAAGATAAAGTGAAGTATTATAACGACATGTGCAAAGAGCTGGAGTTCGAAAACCAAAAGGGAAGAACATGTTCAGCATTTCTCAAGCTGAAAGAACTGAAGAAAAAATTCAAGTCTCAAGTTTCAATAGTGAAGGACTCTATGGGCAAAATACCGAACGACGCAGGAAGCATCAAAAGATGGAAAGAATACACAGAGTCACTATACCAAAAAGAACTGGTTGATGTTCAATCATTTCAGAAGCAGTACATGATCAAGAACCACCAGCACTAAAGGAAGAAGTCCAAGCTGCACTGAAGACATTGGTGAAAAACAAGGCTCCAGGAAATGACAGAATACCAATTGAGATGTTTCAACAAACGGATGCAGCACTGGCAGTACTCACTCACTCATCTATGCCAAGATACTTGGAATACAGCTACTTGGACAACCAACTGGAAGAGATCATTATTTATGCTTATTCTAAAGAAAGGTGATCCAACAGAATGTGGAAATTATTGAACAATATCATTAATATCACACACAAGTAAAATTTTGCTGAAGATTTTTCAAAAGCGGTTGCAGCAGTACATTGACAGGGAACTGCTAGAAATTCAAGCCAGATTCAGAAGAGGACCTGGAATGACAGATATTATTGCTGATGTCAGATGGATCCTGGATGATAGCAGAGAATACCAGAAAGATGTTTATTTGTGTTTTACTGACTAAGCAAAGGCATTTAACTGTGTGGATCATAACAAATTATGGATAACACTGCAGAGAATGGGAATTCCAGAACACTTAATTGTGCTCTTGAGGAACCTGTACATAGATCAAGAGGCAGTCATTCGGACAGAACAAGGGGATTCTGTGTTTTTTAAAGTCAGGAAAGGTGTGTGTCAGGGTTGTATCCTTTCACTGTACTTATCCGACCTGCATGCTGAGCAAATAACCCTAGAAACTGGACTATATGAAGAAGAATGGGCCATCACGATTGGAGGAAGACTCATTAACAACCTGCGTTATGCAGATGACACAACTTTGCTTCCTGAAAGTGAAGAGTACTTGAAGCACTTACTGATGAAGATCAAGGACTATAGCCTTCAGTATGAATTATACCTCAACATAAAGAAAACAAAATCCTCAATACTGGACCAATAAGCAACATGATCATAAAAGGAGAAAAGATCAAAGTTGTCAAAGATTTCATTTGACTTGGATTCACAATCAATACTCATGGAAGCAGCAGTCAAGAAATTAAACGAAATATTGTATCGGGCAAATCTGCTGCAAAAGACCTCTGTTAGGTGTTAAAAAGCAAAGATGTCAGTTTGTGGACTAAGGTGTTCCTAATCCAAACCACGGTATTTTCAGTCGCCTCATATGCATGCAAAAGCTGGACAATGAATAAGGAGGACCGAAGAAGAATTGAACCCTTTGAATTACAGTGTTGGCAAAGAATATTGACTATACCATGGACTGCCAGAAGAACAAACAAATCTCTTTTGGAAGAAGGACAGCCAGAATGCTCCTTAAAGGCAAGGATGGCAAGACCAGTTACCAGGAGAGACCAGTCCCTGGAGAAGGACATCATGCTTGGTAAAGTAGAGGGTCAGCGAAAGAAAGGAAGACCCTCAATGAGATGGACTGACACAGGCTGCAAAAATTGGCTCAAGCATAACAATGATTATAAGGATGACACAGGACCAGGCAGTGCTTTGTTCTGTTGTACACAGGGTTGCTATGGTAGGAACCGACTTGACAGCACCTAACAACAACAACAATAGTACCTAACTAATAGGCATTCTGAGGATTAAATGAATTAATGTATGTTTTATGGTTAGAAAGTACCTGGCACATAGTAAGCACAAATGAATGTAGAATGCAGTTACACCTGCAGATTTAAACTTAATTAATAAAATCTGGGAAAGAATATCATATTCTTGCCTCAAAAAATTACATAATCATTTTTAATGGAAGTTAAAATAAAAATATTTATATTGACAAGAAATGTGATTTCACTTCTGGATTTAACCTGTAAATCCTATTTATTTATTTTAGTACTATGATTGTACAGTAGATTTCTAGAAAATGAGGATGATCTTTCCTTACATGATAAAAAGAATGTATTCTTCAAAAGAAAACATTTTAAACAATTCTTTTAATTTTCAAATCACAAAAAATCAGACTTAAGAATAAAATATTTTTAAATGACAAAAATCAATTTGCTTTTCATATTAATTTTTCTTCATAGCACTTATCACTACCTGACATTTTATTTGTTTGTACTTGTGTACTCCTTCACTAGTGTCTTGTTCACTGGTGTAACCCTAGTACCCAGGACAGTGCCTACTATATCATAGACACTAGTTGTAAAATAAATAAATGAATCCCATTCATGCACTATTCCAAATTTACATTATTTTAAAACACCCTATCCTATCCTCCCTCCTTCAGTCTCTAAATGACTTTACCCTCAACATCGCTAAGAAAATGAAAAGTATCAGTCAGGTAAAAAATCTTTTATTTCTCCATCTTCTTTAAATTCTTCCTCCACCTCCTACAAATTCATCTAAATCCTTCCTTTTTTTTTCCTCTCTCAGTGGAAGAGTTGCTCATCTTATCTAAGGCTAATCTTTCTGTCTGTACTCAAACCTGTCTGTTACCACTTTCTTAGGGACTCTTCTCCATAATTCTGTCTCCTCTCCTATACTGTATTGTATTTCCCTCTGTCTTTTCCCCTTGAGCGTATAATGACGCTCCAGTCAACCCTCTCAACAAAAATCTTTCCTTTAGCTATGTCTTCATGGGTATTACTATATCTCTCCTTCCTTTCACAGTCCAACTTCTTAGATTAGTCAATAATACTGCTTACTTCTTTACTCCTATTTGCTCCATATCCACTATAATCTAGCTTCATTCTCTACTCTCCTACAGCACAGAACCTACTATCATTAAAATCACCTAGGCCTCCAAGTTGTCCATTTTAAGAGACACTTTTCAGTACTTATCTTACATTGTACCATTTGACACTGTTGACATCCCCTCTTCACAACTTGGTTTCTGTGATATCACTGTCTCCTATTTTTCAACTCCTTGAGACGTCCAATCCCCTGACCAATTTTATAATAATTAATGGGTACCTTTTTGGTTTCTTTTTTTCATCCACAATTCAGCATTTGAATCACTGTATCACAACTACCCTCAACTCTCTTATTTT